TTATCGTTCTTAAAACCATTTTCACGTAATCTGTGGTGGTTAGTCTTAGGTGCTTGTATCTATGCTGGTATTTTGCTTTGTCTAGTAGAGAGACAAGATAATGAAGCATTACAAAATCGATCAATATTTTCTCAAGTTACAATGAGTGTGTGGTATTCTTTTGGTAATATTGTCGGATATGGCGTAGACTTTGATGTGAACACAGCTGCTGGACGTTTAATAACTATTGGATTATATATGTTAAGCTTGGTATTAGTAGCATCATATACTGCTAATTTAGCATCTGATCTAACAATATCAAAGTCGAAAAGTATTATATCTGGGATTGATGATCTTAAAAGTGGAAAAATTCCCTTTAATCGTATTGGTATTCTTGTTGGTACAGCTGCCGAAGATTATTATTTGCGAGAAATATCTGAAGGAAGTCGAAATTACTATCCAGTAGAATCTACAGAAGAATTGTATGATAGTTTATTAGCAAATATCATTGATGCAACTTTTATGGATATTGGTGTTGCAGAATATGATACGAACAATGTCTATTGTAATTTAACTTTAGTTGGAGAAGGTTTTGATAAAAGTGTATTTGGTATTGTTACTTCTAAAGAATGGTTATATGCACAAGATTTAGATGTAAATATTTTATCATTAAGAGAATCAGGTGAATTAGATGATTTAAGAATAAAATGGTTTCAAATAAAGAATTGTCCTGATTCATCTGAAACATCAACTGCAATAGGAATTGAATCGATGGGTGGATTATTTTTAACATTTGGAGTGATTAGTGTTTTATCATTATTATTATTTGCATGGTCGAAGCGGCATATTTTAATAAATTATTTATTTATATTAATATGTCGAAAGAAGTCTTCACGCAAAAGAAAAAACTCTATGAGAAGACATTCGATCAAAACTGTTGAACGTTCATAAAATTATCAATTAATGTCGTCTGTTTCATTACACTTTTAAGAATAAAACTATCTTTATCTCAAAAAAAAAACGATTAATCAGTACACACTAAAATAACATGTGTCACATACGAATTTGTCGCGTTCTGTCTGCTGACTATTCATTCACTGTTGAGTTATACATACACAGTCATATATAAATAACATGATTGAATGGATGGAACATACATTTTCAAACTATCCTGATGTGGTCTGATGGATATCGGGCCAACTCAAAGCTAGACAGATCTCAAGATCTGATCCACTTGAGTTTTCAGAATAGGAATAATTAAATGGAATTAAATTGAAAAAAATATCATAATGATAAATCTAAAATCGGCCGAAACGTAAAAATGTCGAAAACAAAAATGAAGGTGCAGATGAGGATGTAAGAGTGATTCGAATCACGAGATATGCGACACATTTTAACTTAGTGTGTATGAATTAAAAATAGTGACATGTGTAGATTTAAAAGGATATTATTTGATCTTGAGCAAATCCATCTGAAACATACCATGTTATATAAAAGTATTTGCGCCACCGATGGGACCTATTGCATCTTGTAGAAAGTTGTTTTCTGGTAATAATCTATATCTTCAAACTCCTCGAAAAGATACATAATTTGAGATAAAGTTAAAATACTTTAATGTTGATAGTGGTACCCTCGATCATAATTTCGCTTGCAAAAAAGTAATTTTTGACAATATCTTTCAATTAGCTGTTCTTGCTTGGAACCTATCTACATTATTATCAATCTGAAGTTCATAACTGAAGGCTTCATTTATGAAAAGATCAACTTTGCTATCCACGCCTGCCCAGGTCAAAAAAGCACGATCGTAAACGGTCGTATACGACGAAATACGTCTAGAAACGGTCATCGTATACGACGATCGTATAGGATGAACGTATACCGTGCCATACGTTCAAATACGATCAACGTATACGTTGAAAATAAACGAATGCCATGCACGAGTGTAGTATACGACTGTATATGGTCGTAAGTTAGTCGTAAGTTGAGTTGCATGTGTCGACCATACCCAGGTCGAAAAATCACATAGTAAGATCAGTTATGAATTCTTGTATGATCCTATCCGATGCTACTCAAAAATCGCATATGTTCATACAAGATGACACAAAAAATCATATGAAAAATTGTCGTCTCAGAAATCTGATGTCAATTCTTCTAGCAAGTTTCTTAGATGCTCCAACACTAAAATCTTGTATGATTATAAAAAAATCGTACAGTAAGGTTTTAACTGATTTCTTTAAAAACATACATTCTCGTCATGTTTCACCTTTCCTGGCAACTATAGTTCAACTTAACTTCACATAGCTCAGATCCTTTTACTTACTGAACCTGATGCATAGGTGCCTACACCGGCAGTTATGACTACATAATAAAATTCATAGCATAATAGTCATAAAAACTCATGTATAAAAAGTTTACTCTCTATACCAGTAACAAAGAGAAATAAGAAATAAAAGTTAAGATTTTCTACATTACCAATATAGACAAAACAAAAAATTAAAGAATATGATCTTCCGTATTATTAATATGGAAAAGTAAGAAAAAAATGGGACTTTTTGTACTAATAATATAGAAAAATAAGAAAGAAAAATTAGCATTTTCTATATTATTATTATAGACGAATAAGACACAAAACTAACTGTTTCTATATCATCAATATAGAAAAATAAGAACTAGGATCTTCTATCTTACCAATATAGAAAAGTAAGAAATACAAATTAAGATTTTCTATACTATTAATATAGAAAAATTGAAAAATAAAAAATATTTTCTATATCAGCAATATACAAAAATGAGGAATAAAACAAATATTTATCTTTGTTACCAATGTAGAAAAATAAAAAAATAAGATTCTCATATCACCAATGTAGAATAATAACATGTAAAAATCAACATTTTCTATATTACTTCTAAAGACAAATAAGACACAAAACTAACTGTTTCTATGTCATCAATATAGAAGAATAGGAAATAAAAATTAAGATTTTCTATATCACCAATATAGAAAAATAAAAAATAGAATTTTCTATATATCCAATATAGAAATATAAGAAATAAAACGGAAGATTTGTCATACCAGTAATGTAGAAAAATAAGAGGTAAGAAGTTAGCATTTTCTATATTATTGTTATCGACAAATAAGACAAAAAATATCTGTTTCTATATCTGTTCATACCAAGAGAAAACAGATGTCGCCTGTTTAAAAAAATGTAATTTTTATCAGTATCAGACACATTTATTCCTTTACAATTTTTTTTTTCTGACACTCAATTGAAAGGAATAAAACAAATATACCTCTTATTTAAAACTATGTTCGACGTTTTTTCTTCGATCAAGTATGTATTTGAACACAGAGATATTACTCTTCAGTAATAATATCTGTAACGGTAGCAGACATAGCCTGTTTATTTTGTATGCATGTATGTATGTCTGCATTCTTTTTTCATTAAGTACTCAATTCTTAACATAAGATAAGTATCTCGTATTTGATATATATGAGCTTTGCCTTACATAAAGTAGTCAGTTTATAGCAGTAAAAAGATGAATACTTCTTACTTTATACAGTCTGCTTTCATGTCATCTAATATTTAGCTATACGGATAGAGAGACATTCAGATAGTACTATACTGTATAGTCGTTATTGTCAATGAGTAATTCGTTCATGAAGTAGAGAGATATTCCTTATCCAATAGAAATTAGTTAGATGATATTAAATCTTCAGTTTTGAATGAGTCTAAAATCGTTTTTTTTATCAAGTTATTTATTTTTTAATGTTGACTCCAGCATTAGTATAGTATATTATACATTAGATTATATCTAATACTAATATTTCGATTGTATAAATAATTTACTATATGATGAATTTTCTTTTTTTATTTCTGGATTAGATGAATATTATTTTTTATTTTCAGACTAGACAAATTTTATTTTGTTATTTTTAGATTAAATAAATTTTCTTTTTTATTTTTAGATTCGATAAATCTTATTTTATTAAATTTAGATTAAATGAATTTTATTCTTAGATTGGATAAATTTTAACTTTTATTTTTTAGATTAAATAAATTTATTTTTATTTTTAGATTAGATAGAGTTTCAATTTTATTTTTTAGATTGAATAAATTTTATTTTTTAGATTAAATGAATTTTATTTTTTTGTTTTTAGATTAGATCAATTTTAACTTTTATTTTTTAGATTAAAAAAATTTATTTTTTATTTTTAGATTATTAAAAGGATAAATAATATCATAAAGTATCAATGTAATGGAATGGGGATGTCCAATTTGGCTGGGGGTTCACGTTCTTGTTTTTCATGCAGCTTTGATGATATATCGAAACAGTACGATGATATATCATCAAAGCTTCGTGAGAAATAAGAATTGGGAGCTCCAGTCAGACTGGACACGCCAAAGATTAATTTTTCCATCTTTGGAGAGTTGGGAGGGGGGAGGATAAGTAGCAAAACTTTGAATAAAATACGATGACAATCCACATAGTATACGACTGTGTACGATCGTTTACGGTGGTCGTATATACGTCGTATATCGTCGTATACGACACGACGATATACGGTCGTAAATCTGGCGTCAAGTAATACGACGAAATACGGTCGTATACGATCGTAATTTACACCGTATACGACCGTACACGATCGGATACGACGTCGTATACGATCGTTTACGACTGTCGTAATGCTCGTCCTGGGTGAGTAGAAAAAATCACTTAAGTGATTTTTTTGTTAGCATAGATGGTAAATATCGCTGAAATAATCTGTAAAGAAATATTTTTTCCTATTAAGTAGAGGATGTGGGTGTGCTCTTGATGTGACTCTCTCTTGAATAGATACTGACGCCAACACCTCACACCCACACTCTTGTCACTCTGTGTTACTGTATCAAGACTCGATCAGTTATTAAAATCGGGATTATTTCATTTTGATAATAGATAAATAAACAAACAAACAGAGCAGAGAATTTGAAAATAGTAAAATAGTTTTTTCTAGGAGGTACGATTCTATATAAAAATTATTATCGTTCTCGATATTTATACGTATTAAAATTAGAATGTTTATCCAATATTTGATTGAAATGTTCAGTTAAGAATGTTCGTACATCGGATATTCCAGGTAGATTTCTTGGTTCATGTAAACGTAAATAATTTTCATCATCAATAGCTTCTTTATTATAACACATACAAATTAAACCTTTATCGATTTTTAATCGTTTATTAAGAGCTTCATTTAATTCATTTTCAATTAATGAATCCGTTATTGTATCGATACCAGTAATGATAACAACAAATTTTGCCGATTGATTTAAACCATATTTCTGTTCTATTCTATCTAAAATAAACAAAACAATTTGTGTTTTCTAACATGAGAAAATTGTGTTAAGATGGCCTTGTTGCAGTCGATTTTGATTTGATTCATTTAAGGATTTTTTATCAAATTAATTTTTTGCTCAGAAATTTACACATCTGATTCGATGCATGGACAATGTGAAGAATTTCCATTTGTCGAAATAATCTTGCTGTATGTAAGATGTTAAGGAGATTTCTGAGCCAACAACTTTCTTAAGCTAAATTATCTGCATTTTCATAAAATTATCGTAAAATCGGATATTTCTGTAATCTAAGATTCTACTCGTACTATTTTTGACTTCAAAATATCGAGTTCGGTCTAGTCAATACTGTTTCTGTACGTCGGTTGTATCTTAGTGGTGTAACTCTTACAAAAAAATTTTGTTTAACATACTCTGATCTGTCGAAAGGCTTCCGTTTATGGGCTCCGTTTGAGTCGCTGTAGTTGCATTTACTACTTGTTGGTGTGTCTCTGTAAGCGATGTGATTGGTGACAATGATGCTGACATTTGTAGTTCGTTTATTAATGCTGCAGCCGAGTTATAATCGGTACCAGCTCTTACAACAATAACATAAAATGTACTAAAAACAGAATAATTTTGATTCAAATGTGCTATGGTTTTTACAGGATCTGTCACACCGGGATAATCAATCAAATGAACTCTATTACTACTATTATCGTCATATAATGTATAAATTTGCATTTGTTTAGTACGATTATCAAGATAATCACCACGTTCTGCTGGAATATTCCATAATGATTTTAATAAACTTGATTTACCAGCACGATGTGCACCAATAAATGATATATATTGTGTAGTCATCAATTGCCGTAATCTACAGATATAATAAATATTATGTAAAAATTTAAATGCATTTATTTGTGAGTCTATTGTGGTATCGGATACCATTAGCCGTGTCGAATCCTTGCCTTCATTCATGACAAATAAATGTGTGTCTTTAATTATTTTTTCTATTCCTTTATGGTCAGTTATAATAATACAATCAAAATCAATCGATTTGTTTTTCAATATGTCACATATTTGTATTTCCAACATTTTTTCATTAGCACATTTATCTGAATTACCTCCTATGCTATTCAATAAAAACGCTAAATGTTCATGATATATAAGTCTATCCAATGAATCACGACCAATAATACCTAACATTCTGTAGGAACCTACTGTTCCTACTGCCATCGTAAGTAAGTCAACGGCAGCAAATTGTGTTCCAACAAAACTTGCGAAAGATGCACCAAATAATTGATAACCTATTAAACCTAATAATCCAGCTTGCAATAAGACACATGTCCCAAATAATGCCACAGTTCCGAAAATAGCAAAAGATCCCGGATTCTCTTTTACTCTTTGTAAAAATGATTTATTAAAAGTATAGTTTGGTACTTCTATTAATACTTTAAATAAATCATTTATTAATCCAGACATGTCATTATATAATGTTTGATCAATCGATATTGGTTTATTCAAATTTTTCATTTGTTGACAACGATTAAAATGTCTTTCCAATAAAGATTTAAATTTTTCATATTTATTCGGTAGTCGATTTTCAAGTAATTTCGCAAAATATCTTGAAGTACTCTTTGCTGAAAATAAATCATTGTTTGAATGTAGACAGTCAAAAAATGACCGTAGAAATGTAGCCATTAAAAAATTCATATCAAGTTCATGAAATGTTAGAGTTGTTTGTTGATTATTATTATTATCATCATCAACATAAAGTTCCAACATTAGATCAATGTTTCCAAAATGTGTATCAAGTGTATATTTTCGTGGACCAACAGTGACACGTTCCTTAATTGGTATTAAACTATTATTCATTAAAACTAGCTTATTTCGAGAGATTTCTGATATTGTTATAACAGAATTTGGTTGAAAGAAATTTTCAGATGTGTTTACACACATTCTTTTGTGTGTTGATAAAAAGTCTAAATGATCACCTGTAATTGTTATCTTAATATCTGTATCAGAACAAATAGCTGTTGCTTTTCTTATATGTGGACTAAAACGTTTGACTTCGGTGACTTGCCATTGATTGTTGCTCATATTTATTGAAGATTGAGTACGAATAATTTCACATGATAGTAATGATGAAATATATTTTTCCATATAATGATTAATAATATTTACATCCGTAATTGTAGCTGTAGATGGGCCCAATGATTCGATTAGTTTTTTTGATATAACATCTATAAATTTTTCTTCATTATTTGTATCATCAATTTTCATTGTATTACTTTTGTAAGTAATAATCCATTCAGTAGGTTCCAGATTACTTGATTCACTTGACGACAATACTGAACGTATAAATCCGTATTGTCCTATTGGTTTGTATTCCGTAATTTTATTTTTTAACAGATTTTTTAATTGTGGTATTAATAAATTCAAAGTCTCAACCGACGTGTTTATCACTTTTGCTGGTACACCAGTTGCTAAACTAACAAGTGGGAGAATCGTTTTAGCAATTTGTAAACATGATTCAGCTATAGGTGCTATTGTTGATTGAAGACGTGTACCAGTTTCAACAAGATTTAATAAATTTGGTACAATATCATTTTCATTGACTATTGTCAAAAAATGATCATTAAAATTTCTTTTAATTAAATCTTTAGCAACAGTACTATTACCAATAAATGGCGCACCAAATGTTATACTAAATATTTGTGGATTTTGTTTAAAACTTTTATTAGACAAACTGAATATAGCACATAAGTGTGCAACACTACCACCTAATGAATGACCAGTAAATATTAAACGTTTACGATCATCAAATGTAGAATGAAATTCATTCATTAATGTATCATGCGGTAACTCAGAAGCACGTTTTGAAAAACCTCTATGAGCCATACCTGATGTTGTTAACATAGGATGTATAGTTAAATCAGTTAAGACATCATTGATATTTGTCGTACCACGAAATGCAACCCATAAGGTTTCTTCATTAATGTTACTTTTAGATATGGCTAATAGATATGGTGAAGATGCATTAGATGCAAATTTTAATCCACATTCACAAGAGGTTAATGTTGAAATACAACTATACGATGAATAGTTTTTATTAATATGTGAAATTGGATCTGCATAATAAACAGCATCCGATAGTATGGCAGCCATTTCAATATCCATAATAGAAAAATGACACTTTTCTTTATCGAATATTGGTTGTACTGATACACGTTTGCCAGGACGTAATTCATATTGTCTATCAGGTTTACATAAAAAGTAACCATCTGTATCTAATGAAATAATAACAAGATCTTCATCGTCATTGTTATTCATTGATAATTGAAGTAATTTTGCGTTTGGATATTCTAATAATAGTGTTTCTCGATCATTACGTTCAATATTAAATATATCAGCAAGCTTTTGAAACAAAATTTGACATTGATCACTACTCACAGAACTTGCTGAATCGAATTGATTGAGATTAAGTTCTTTACGTTGTTGCTTATAGGTTATTGATAGTATCATCTTCAAAGAACAAAAAAAATAATTTTTTATTACTGCAAGCGGACTATTCTAAAAAGTAGAATGAATAAAATAATAATTCAAATTCATTAAAATTCCTATTTGATGGATTTTATCTTTGCAAAAATGGAGCAAAGAACTATTATTTTGGATACAATTTGTAAATATGTAACGAAGTACTTACTCAATATATATATCAGACCAAGGCCAGTCTCAGAATTTTTTCTCCCGTAAAGAATAGTCGTTCTTCAAGAAAAAATAAATTTCTGATTCTAGAAAACTCAATTTCTCCTATATTTAGTAAAATAATAAATTCACGAATTTGGAAAAAATTGTGATGATGAAGTTTCCTACATTTTCCGAAAATTAAGAATTTTAATTAATTAAACTATTGTTAATTGTTTTATGAAACCCTCTACTGGATTCAGAGTTGAAAAATCAAGAGTTTATTCCTCTCTACTCAAATTGAATTCAACGTATCGTGTAATAAACGACGATTGCGAGGCTTCATTGTGATCGTAAGACGCCCGAAGCCGAGTTTTTATTCGACATACCAAAAGTTCGAGCCAAGTTTATAATACGAATTCTTTTGCTTGATGTGACCTAATTAAAACCACAGCATACATTTCCAATTAGTAATCGTTTTTGAAAATCGGATGCGTTTATGAATATAGTCGTATACGAAAGGCAGCCGATAAGAGCAAACACAATAAAAACAAAATGATGATAGAATAACATGATTTTATCAATGTGCATTTTATCGCAAGAATTTCACAGGTCGAATGATACTTGCGTAAAGGTGTTGGAGAAAAACTAGTGACATGTCAATATTTATCGAGCTTATCAGTCTCGATTACTCACTTGAGGACACGCCAGATTTCTAATTCAAAGGTAATGGAGCTAAAATTTAACAAGATATAAAAGATTAACCACCGCCAAATAAGATCGTTTGTAAGTTTTTACAAGAGCAAGAGCCAATAGTGTGATTTACTCACCAGACGAAACAAAGCCATCATAATATGGCGTGTGTGAGTATAGAAAACACACATCCACTGCCTCACATACATCTTTATCTGCATGGTAGTCTACGTACGCTCAAACGATGAGCTATTGCTGATGTTTTTGGTTCGATAAATGATAGACTTCATTTCGTGTGAATTTATACACGAGATTTATCAGATTTTTTCCAATTAACGCTTTTTTCCCAGTGTTATCTTTTTTCTTATTGTTTTATTTGACTATTACTTTGCACAATGAATTGCACAATGTGTGATAAGAACGGTTTCGATCGTAAAACGAAATTACACAAGAGTACAGAAAGAAGAAAAGTAAAAAAGTGACAACACTAATCATGAAGAAGTTTATTACGAATATTATTAGAAATTTTTCGTTTTCCTCTGCATGATGAACTAAACAGACTTTTTGAGTCACTGAAATTCCCTAAGGAATCTATTGCACTTGATACCATTCAACATGAACAATTTTCAATATGATTTTATTTCTTCACATAAATAGAACAAAGTATTCCAAAAAAATGACAAGGAAAACAAGATAGCAACCACTGTATTACTCTACTTATACGAGTAAGGTAACCAGGAAATCGTAAGCATCCGGGCGGTGTCCTACAATCTTTAAAAAAAAATTTATTCACAATAGTTAAAATTTTTCCTGAAGCTCAATTGAGTCTTCCAATCTTTGTTCCCCTAAAGACAGAGACAATCTTTATGATGGAACCAACTGATATTGTGCAATTACGTTGGCACTATTACATAGTGATACATACAACACGACCATTGAATGTTTTTCGTTCTTCGTATAGTATACATATAGACTGTTTATAACTAGCAAACTATTGTTTTTTACTATACGATAACATCATTATACATTCTTTTCTTTTTATCTTTCATCTATATGATATAGATCGAAAACAACTTGCAAAAGTAAATTCTGTCATTTTCGATAGTCTTTCTTAGCTAATATTGTCAATTACAAAACATTTTCGCTGCTGTTAAAATAAAAAAAAGTTTTACATAAGAAAAAATTTCTTCAAGTTGTCTATAGGGAAATAAGAGGGTGTGGGTGTGGGTGTTGGTGTGATCACGCACTTCACCCACATCTGATCTGACTTCTAAAGAAAGTTCAAAGCTTTCCAGAAGAGCCTGAACCATACCCAGACCCCGCCACTATACTTGAAAATGAAATTTCCCAATATTCGATAGCTTTGCCTTAAAAAGTTTATTTCTTTCTTTCACGAGAAAATATACCACATACACACACCAAAGAAGAAGCATAAAACAAGACACGGGTCATTATATATGTATGAATATGAAAGAAGTCAAGAGAAAAAAGAAACAAATAAGAGAGAGAAGAAGAAGAAGAATAAAATACATGTTCAAGCAACATGATCTAGTATTTTCAACATAGATCATAACATATATTTACATCCATTGAATTACTATTTAAACAATCACTAAATAACTCAATATCATAACGATTAATACTATTTAATGATGACTTGACAGATGACAAAGATAATGAATCATAATTACTATTTAATATTGATGTTCTATTTGTTGTACTTGGTAAAAAAATACGATAAAAAAATGAAGGTAAATTTCGTACATATGGCCATGGAAGATTGATAAAACATTGAGTTATATGATGATTTAATGAACGAAGTTGAGATACCAAAAATATAATATCATAAATTTCAATTGAAAATTCTCGATTGATATTCGATCGACGAGCTACAACATGAATAATTTTCGAATAAATAATAAAGAAGATGTTCATATATATTACCTTGAGTATATTCACAAAATGCTTGAATACATTCATATTGATATTTTGACCATGATTTATTAGATTCATTGATTACATTTAAATCTTATAAAATAAAAAGAAAACGTTTTTTTTTCTATGTTTAATGGAAGATTTTTTCTTACTATTCCGAGTAATAATCATTAATAAAAGAAGAGAAAATTCTTTTTCATCCAATTGAAGATTTCGTAATTTTAATTCATATGAACGAAATAAATGTTCCGCTTGTGTTAATTGTGGAACATATGCATTTAATTCCATTGATAATGTTGATTCAGCTTGCCAATAATTCCATGTTGATTGTATAATTTCATATGAAGATTTCATCAATGTTTTATCAGGTAATAATGTTATCATAATAACAGAATTGATAGATGATGAAATGATTTCATATTTGTTCGACATATTTGTAAAATCTATTGAAATAATTTTTTTTAATTAAAAATAAATCAAAATTTTGAAAGACTAATCTGTTCACTTTCACTGTATAGGTCGTGAAAGGGAATAGATTATTTAAAATGATATGAAAAAATACAGAAGAACAATAAGATAAGACCAAAACAATAAAATAAAAAATATTAGACGATGATGATGATGACGTATGTTACCCGGTATTATACTTTGACAAAAATTCATAATTGCTTGAGCATAAATAATCATTTGTGATGCCATTGTCGACCAAACTGTTTCATATGGAATACATTTAGGTAAATCCTATAGATAAATGAAGCAAAAATAAAACGATTCTATTGAAAGACAATCGAATTATCTCTGCTTTTTAATTATAAAGAAAAATGATTGCAAAAAAAAGAAATCACCTTTAAATAAACAAGATAAGCATTATAAACATTTTCAATAAATGTTTTTATTGTTGGTGAAAGTTCAATATCAATTTCATTATTTGATGCAAATACTAAAAAAAACATAAAATAATTTAAGAAATTTTTTGTTCTTTTACTTTTGTCATTTTTATTATTAGTCTTTCGTTTTTTAGCCATTGATGCAATACGAACTGAATCTATTACAGTTGCTATTGATGTTGAATTATTTTGAAATTGTCGAATACTATTTAATCAATTATCAGAATTTATTATTAATTATTGAAATTTACCTTTCTTTAAAAAGATTTGATTGTCGACCAATACGAGAAGCTAAAATTAATTTTAACATCTTGAAAATATACATAGAAAAATATAATTAACCATTCATAGACATTCCAGTTTGAATACATTTTCGAAATCTACATGCTCTACAAGTTATTTTTGATGTTGAAATAATTTCACAATTATTATTTTCAATACAATGATATTGTTCAAGAGCATTTTCTTTTATTGATCGACGAAAAAAACCCTTTTTATATAAAAAAAAAAGAAATTTTTTTTTTGTTCTTCAAATATTTTCCTTTTTTTTCGTACTTTACAAGCTTCACATGTAACAGCACCAAAATGAATACCTGATGCTGATGCATTACAAATAACACATGGTAATTTTTTATATAAATCTTCTATCTTTGATTCAATTGTTTCTTGAATTATTTTTGATAAATAAAATACAAAGAAAAAAAAGAAAGAAAATTTACCATTAGATTTCATTCCAACAGAAATACATTTTTGTAATCTACAATATTGACATTGTGTTCGAGAACGTTTTGTTATTAAACAATTTAAATTTTTTTGACATTTATATTTTTTCTTTTCTTCATCATTTGTTGAAATTGAGCGTAGAAAGAATTTCTAAATTATGATTTATTTTACAAAACAAAATATTTTATTCAAATTTATTTTTTACTTTGCATGCTTCACATGTTATTGCTCTAAAAAGAAAAATAATAAACAATCAAAAAATAAATCAATGTAATTAACTTACCCACAATGCCATCCCGATGCTAAATCTCCACAAATTTGACAATGTTCATCTTCATTCAAGTTAGCTGATAACATATCTTCTTGATTATTATTATTATTATTGCTACTTGAAAAGATTCTAGAAAATTAAAAAAAAAACGATTCAAATAGATTTTATAGGAGATAAATGTTCCACTACAGTATCATTTATTCGAGTTGTTTATCAAAGATTAAATTGTTACAAAAATATAAAATGATACTAAGATCATTAAAGTATTATTTATCTCTCCCACTTTCTGCTTTTTTTTCTTGCCAGATTGTTGTGGATTGTAGATCTTTTTGTGTATGATGAAAAATTGCTTTTCAAAAAAGTTCAATAATGAAGATATACTCTTCGTTCCCTCTGGCTAGTCATTTTAGATTGACTAAAAGATATAAAACAGTTATATATATGTTTGCATTTTTATGACCTTTTAATGTTATGTTTTAGCAAATAGCACGCATGTTCGGTATTGATGTAAGAGAGAAAAAAAATGTAGATCTAATCGTACTTATGTGATAATATCATCTGTCATACATTGAAAGACAACAAGGTTTATTTTTCTTTTGAAATACATCTTTCTCATGATGTAAAATTCAGTATGTTCAACAAACGAAGGAATAGATTTTTGTTTTCTAAGTTGCAATCTTATCTTTTCATGGATTATTTGATATAACTTAAAATGTGTCAAATAAAATTGATCGAAGACGGTCATCAATTTAACATGATTAACTGTAAAATCTTTAATAATCGACGATATATCTAAGGTAGATGAAGATATATTTGTCAAAAGAATAGTTGGCTCATCTTCATTGAAATATGACTGAAGAATTATGCTAAATTCAAGAGATATAGGAATAAATTTTGGCATAGAATTATTGGTCGTGTTTATTGCGTCTTTTGACAAAATCATAGAATGAATAGTATAGTGTAGTTAGAAATACTTTTAAGACTTATTTAAATTTTTTTTAATGGATACGTGATTTGAATTAGCAATTATGAGAAAAAGTCAATAGACGAATAAAAATAAGAGAAAAGTAAATAGAACCAACCAACCGAAAATAATGTTCAAAACTAATATCGAGAATAGAAAAAGTTTAACATTTTATTGACTTTATATGAATTGAAATAGATTGTAGAGATAGATCAGACAATGTATAAATTGTTCTTCGGCAATAAAAGAATATAAAATCAGTGATAACAAAGCAAGTTATGAACTATGACAAACATTGATGTGTGATCATATTATAATCTCTTTACTTCAATTTTTATCACACATTTGTGACAAAAAATTGTTTAAGATTTCTACCATGACCTTTCAACTTGATAGTCTAGGTCAATGACCAGAAAACTCAAAAAAAATGGTAGAAACTTGGAAACAAGAATCCAGTGATCAGATCCAATGATCAGATTTTTCCAGTTTCGATCGTAATCAAAAAATTGAAAACATATAAATTCTTTCGAAATTTTCAGTCTTGTACAGATACAATAAAAATTACATCGTTGGAAAGAGCGTAAAAAGCTGAGCAACGAGTAGTAGGGGTGAGAAGTTATTGTTATTTTTTGTTATTAATAACAATAATAATAACATAAAAGTTATTGTTATCAATAACAAATAACAAAAAAAGTTATTTGTTATTAATAACAAAAAAATAACAAGTAACTTTTTTTTCCGAAAAATGTTAGTTATGCTTTGTTACTATGTAAAAGTATACCAGTTCTATTTGCTCGTTATTGTCCGATTGCTCGATGATGTTACTGACCGCAATCTCCATTAGATAGCCTATGAAACTGAGAAAAATCCTAAAAAGATCTTTTCAAGTATCTTGCTCATCTACAGGCAAAATTTACTAATCGGTTTACGAGGAACGATTCCTCAATGTTCGATTGCCTTTGACTTGATGTTTTGGTCAAATAAAAGTCTTTACGAAATGAGATTCTAGGCGCTATTTTTCGAGTTATGATCTGTACAATCTTTCTAGACATTTTCTCATCTCCCAAAGGCTTATATTTGACCAAAGCATCAAGTCAAAGACAATTGAGCATTGAGGAATCGTTCCTCGTAAAGCGACCAGTAAATTTTGCCTGTAGATGAGCAAGATACTTGAAAAGATCTTTTTAGGATTTTTCTCAGTTTCATAGGCTATCTAATGGAGATTGCGGTCAGTAACATCATCGAGCAATCGGACAATAACGAGCAAATAGAACTGGTATACTTTTACATAGTAACAAAGCATAACTAACATTTTTCGGAAAAAAAAGTTACTTGTTATTTTTTTGTTATTAATAACAAATAACTTTTTTTGTTATTAATAACAATAACTTTTTTTGTTATTTGTTATTGATAACAATAACTTTTATGTTATTGTTATTAATAACAATAACAATAAATTCACACCCCTAACGAGTAATAATTATCTTGGTGAGATATATTCAAGTTCCCAGTAAAAATTTTTCAAAAAAAAATTTCGTAGCAAAAACATTAAAGATTTTTCGTAGTTTCAAGATGTTTGTGTGATCGTACAGCTGAATTTTATTTGTTAGAGTAGTATTATTACCTATCCAGCTCAAGAAATACTGACAGAAAAAGCGCGGACAATGGTAGAATCTTGGAATCGAGAATTCAATAATTGGATCCGGTGATGGAATTTTTATAGTTCTGATTCGAATCGACATATATTTCATGATCTGAGTTATTATCTATTGTCTCTTTGTCAATAAGAAATTATTTATTCAAGAACAGACAATAAAAAAGTTCAATAGAAGTTTGTTTTTACGGGCAGTTACTAGTGTAATTATATTCTCATTTTGAACAATGAAGATGAAAATCAATGAATATTGAAAATGTAATGATTAAGTTTAAATAAAAATTGAGTAAAATTTAGTTTTCTTATTTTGGAATTAATAATATAACTATTTTGAATAAGACTTTTTCATTTGTTTGAAATCATTTCTATTGTACATTTCAAAATAGAATGTGCTCCATTATTTTTTGAATAACTCGAAAATGCAAACAGCTAGAGATCTGCAGTTTTTAACAATCGAAAGAGGAGATAGGAAAACATCTTTTTCTCTAATATTGTATTAGACGAAATTTTGACAAAAAGTTAGAAAATTTGCTTGAAAATTACAAAAAATGCACAGTTTTCGTACGAGTAAATAGACGATTTTATTTGTTCAACCTTATGATATGGGAAGATAATCATTCGAGTTATATATTGAACTATAGATCTTAAGTTTCTCTATCTAGATCGCATGTCAAAACCAAAATTTCATCGAAATGACAGATTGTTTTCATGCATTTTTCGTAATATGTTTTGCAGAAATGATTGATTTTAAAATGATTTCGTTTTATATAATATTAAAGAAAAAGATGTCCCCGGTCTTCTCTTTCGATTGATGAAAAGCGCAGGTCTTTAGCTGTATGCATTCTCGAGTTATTCAGACAACACTGGAGTACATTATATTTTGAAATGGACAATAGTTTCATTGCTTCGCCTTTGAAATATTGGACGTTTCCAAAAAAATGTTTGTTTTTCCTACAGTCATTAGGAATGTTTCGGAATTTCTATGCAACATAAACCGATGAAGAAGTCCACTAGTGAGTTAGATACATTTCGAAAGCTTCACAATAACTCGGTGAATTACACATATTAAGGTGTATAGTTGACCATGAAGCCATTATTGGGCAGCTGAAAGATACTCAAAAATAAAGTTTTTATGTGTATTATAAATCTTAACTCAAGAGAAGCTGAAATAGTACTTACTATGAACTAAATGTTTTCAGAGGTTATAAAATGACTCAAAGTTAAGTAGATGTTTATTAAACAAGATGTGTCAAAAACGCATGTATTCTTTTGACATTAGGTTTCGTCAGTTCACTCCTTCCTTTTTTCTATTGCTACAATCACATGAAATTCATGTTGCTGTCACCTAATCAATAACGTGGTCAAAGAAAAAACAAAAATCAACAACATCTGTCATGACCTGTGATGAAGAGCAGGTTAAATACAAATCTCTACTCTATATACTTCAACAGTCTTTGTCGTGTGCAATGTCTTCTAATTATATTGACTTTTTTTTTGTGAATAAAAGCACAAAAAAGAATGAAAGTGTATTTTCTTATACAGTTTTGTAAAATTTCTGTAGTTACATATAAATCATTGAATAAAAAGAATTGCTCAAATACTTTCACAACATTATGAAATGATATCAATCACAATGAGTCATGTGCGCAAACAAGACACATCACATCTCTGATTCATAGAACTAATTCATCGCTGTACTACTCGCTGCCTTGTCGCCCTTTGTATTTTACAACATGTCGCCAACCATATATTTGTTCACTATGAGTCACACAGTCGTATTCTCCGTTCTTATCTCCATATCACTTCGTCAACTTCACGAAGCAAGCAGCGAGTATTTAAGTGAGTAACTTCAGCAGCAGTATCATTTTACACAATGCTTCGAATCAAGCAAAACTCTGCTCTTTCTACACAACAGCCAGAACAACAATTCGTGCCATTGAAACAAGTAAATGTCGAAGCCTACATTAGAGCGTTTGCTGCCGATGTTACTATCAAACAAGTTTTTCGTAACAATGAAACGAAACCAATCGAAGCAGTGTATTGTTTTCCGATAGAAGAACAAGCAGCAATCTATTCATTTGTGGCTCGAATTGATGATCGAGAAATTGTTGCACAATTGAAAGAAAAAAAAGAAGCACAACGAGAATACAGTGATGCTCTTCAACAAGGTCATGGTGCATATTTACTCGAACAAGATGAAAAATCTCAAGATAATTTTATAATCAATGTTGGTGCACTACCAGCCGGTAAAGAATGTCATATCTCTATATCGTATGTCACCGAATTGGATCTTATTCAAAATGGAAGCCGAATTCGATTTGTTGTTCCAACAACTATCGCACCTCGCTACAATCCAAACAAAGGTGGTGTTAGTTCACCGGCTGGTACCACATCTAAATATGTTCAAACAGCTCCATATACAATTGAATTTCGTTGTCGAGTGGAGAAAGCCAACGTTTCTCGAGTTAGTTCAACATCTCATCCTATTCAAGTTGAATTCGCTCAAGAGAATGTCTATGTGATCGAATTTGCCCAACAAAACACACATCTAGATCGAGATATCTTACTAGATATTGAATTAGTTAGCAATCATTCGAATACTATTGTTGTAGTGGAACAAGGTGCTGTTATGGCTTCATTTACACCAACTAAAGAAGATTGTCAACGTACAATGAATAATGTAGAGACGACAAATGAATTTATTTTTATTATCGATTGCAGTGGATCGATGAGAGATGAGAACAAAATTGGATTGGCACGTCAAGCCATGTTACTCTTTCTCAAGAGCCTTCCAGTTAATTGTCATTTTAATATCATTCGATTTGGATCAACTCATCAGGCATTATTCCACGAGATTACCGCTATTTACAATGAACAAAATGCTCAAAAAGCTGAACAACTCACCAAGAACATGCAGGCAGATTTAGGTGGTACTGAATTGGTGAGTTTCAACGATTTTATCTTAAACTATTGTTTATTTGTCTCTAAATTTAGTTAAAACCACTTCAATGGGTAGAACAGCATCCTCCAGGACAAGGTCGCGCACGACAAATATTTCTGTTGACTGATGGAGAAATTTCAAATGTGAACGAAGTACTTGATCTGTGTCGTTCAATGGCTACTTCGACACGGATCTTTTCATTTGGTTTGGGTCATTCACCAAGTCGTTCACTAGTCAAAGGTCTTGCCCGAACAACAAATGGACGTTTTGTTTTTATTCCACCTAACAGCAGTGTTGACGTTCATGTTGGTGAACAATTACAAAAAGCTCTACAGTCTTGTATAACCAATATACAAGTGAAATGGAATCTTGGTACTAATGTTATGAGTGCACCAACAAAAATGCCACCAGTCTATGCTAATGATCGTCTGATTGCTTATGCACTTGCCAATGATCCAATGCTTGTCTTCGATCACAATTCGAGTGTCGAATTATGTAACGATAAAAGTCGATTAGGTGAAGCAAAAATTGATCGCATACCAAATATGAGCATGAATGGAACTATTGCTCGACTCGCTGCCAAAGCACTTATTCTTGAATTGCAACATTCGAAGCTACCATCCTCGATCACGAAGAATAATATAGGTTCACTACAACATCGATTCCAAGAAGATCGTCCATCGCCAACACCAGTAACGACAACCGATGAGAAAGAAGTGACAAAGAAATCTATTATTGAACTTTCACTCAAGTATCAGATTTTGAGTCCACATACTGCTTTTATTGGTATTGAAAAACGAGTGAATGGCAGCAATGCCGATATGATCTTACGTGAAGTACCAATTCAAATATCGGCCGATGATCAACACTTACAGGCACCTCATCCGGTGCGATCCTCTGTAAGCAGGATGCCATCTAGTTCGATGTCATTCCATACAATGTCGGTGAGAAAAAAGGTAGAATCTATGTCGACTCGTTCGCTTCAGAAAGATAAGATGGTATGTTCCGTTGATGCATCAATCCCTTTAGTAAATTTAATTGAAGAATGTGCTTATGAAACAAGTGAATGTCTTGATCTTAATCTAGACTATAGCAAATCATCGTCGAGCTCTGGCAGCAGTATTCGTCCTAGCATTACTTCAAGCCTACTAGACTCCTTTGATGTAGAAAAAGATGAAACCTGGCCTACAGGCGATCAAAATATTGTTCGCTACTTGATCAACAAACAAAAATTTGATGGTTTATGGGATTTAGATGCGAAAGATATAGAACAATTGACTGGAAAACCATTGACAAACTTTCCACAATCCTATAATAAACAAATTCTCATTTCGGCTATTGTTATTGTCGCACTTGAAACGCGTTTCGTCACAATGTCGACAATGTGGTATGGTGTAGTACAAAAAGCTCGCAAACGTCTTCTCGATTTACTCGGTCAAGACGCTAAACAACTTGAATCATTACTGGAGAACATCCGTCAACAATTTTAAACATTTTTTTGTCGTTGATTGAACAAGAATGTTTTGCCTATTAATATCATTTATCTGTAGAGCCAGAAAACATATAAAGATTTTTGTCTAGAAAAAAAAACAATAATGGAAGAGTTGACATTCGATATTAGGTGATTATTTCTAAAACAATCTAATTTTCAAAATTAAAAGATACACATAACAAGTTATCAATGCTAGTTAATTTGATTATTATATTGATTGATTACTAATTTTATTCGTTTTTATATTTTTTATCTATCATTCATTGACATAAAGAAATACTAATACAAAAAAAAATCAGAAAAGATCGGTTAAGACGTCGTCGTCGATTTTTTAAAAAAGTTTCTAGTCGCTGCAACATAAAAATGGATATTTGATATTAAAAAATTTCCAATATCTCAAATCAGTATTCAGAGATGTTCCTGTCTAGTTTATTGTCAATAAGTTTACTACTATTGTTTTCTTTTGTTTTGTTTTTCATTTCGAAATTTCTTGAAATTAAGAAAATTTTCAGTCACTGTCGCTAACCAATACATTAGCTTATGCATCTATTTATAATCATTTTTCGGAACAAAAATACCATTGATAATCGATTATCATGAATTCAATTAATTGATTAATTCCACAATTTTGAACAATAATAAGCTAAATAACATCAAAACTTATCATAACATTATCATTTAATGTTAAATCACTTCTATTTCAAATTGCCATATGTCATACAATTCACGAAATTTATTGACATGACATAAGTATCTTTAGTTTGAATAGTATTAATTTTGAAAAAGTATAAAACAAATAAATACTTCATATAAAATTATTTTCAACAATCAATTATTTATACTTTTAGAATATCTTTGAAAGAAGATATACTTAGCGATATACGTCGAAATATCGAATTCTGAGAGATACAAACAGTGTGAACTTTGTTATTATTCATCTTTTTAGTAGATATAAATTTCGAGATGATTTCTTTTTCTAGTATTTATCTAATTAATATTAAGGGCACATAGGAATCATTTCTGGGTCATGTTTAGCGTTGATTAATTCATGATTTACTCGATGCAGAATTTTGTGGGAAGTCGTTTGCTAATAAAATAAAGTCATTTCTGAAGAGTCTATACTAGAGATCAGCGCGGTCAAACTTTTTAGTCCCAAAACTCAAGAATATTTTTTATTTCTCCCCGATCCCGAGAAGCACCGATTTTTTCTCACAAATAATTGACACCTAATACGTGTGGCATTATATTGACGGAGAAATGTAGACAAGTTTTGATTGTTAGCCAGTCAACGAAATAAATTGTGAAAAAACAAGGTATTCTCTCCTTTCCTTCTCTTCGTTTATGTATAAAACGAGATGATTCTGTTAAATATGTGAAAACAGGTGGTAGGTGAGGGTGTAGACATGCATCAAGTATGGGTACGAGCGTCGGTATGAGTTGTGGTGGGTTTTCTGTGCAACCACATGTACATCCAGTCGATTCACAGCATCCATAATCACATCCATTTTTTCTGAATTTCTATTTTCTTTTTTAGTGAAGCTTTGAATTCTGACGATCAGATACCTTTGTCTTTCGTTTTCGTGTGTTTACTCTTTAATAAACTGTAAAACTAAATAAATTTATGTTGCAGAAAAACAAAAAATATTTTTCGGGAAGTATCCTAAAAAATTCGGAACCCTGACCTCGGCCTCAAAAAATTTTTTAGCCACGCTCCCTGCTGATCTTTAGCCTGGAAGCTCTGATGTGGAACTTATATGTGCTCTTTAGTCTCGTTATACTAATACAATACATATAAAGTGAAAATCACTAATGGACTATAGTTGTTTTCCAAGAATAATCTCTTATTTAAATCTGTATTTCGAACAAAAGTTTTTTTTTACTATCGTTGCTATTCACTTCTTGTTTTCCTTAATTTAATATTATTTGTTATTCTTCTAACCATTAAAAGTGTTCATGGTCGAGAAGAACAAACAGACTTATACGCACACCCACACTCTTCAACTCTACCCACTAATTATCAGATTCCATTCTAGATCTATATTAACTGCACTCAAACTCAGGAGTTGGAACTGCTCACTTCTGCAAGTAGATAGAGAGCAGAGAAAAAATTGAACAGTCTAAAATTTGTTTCTAGGGAGAGAGGGTGACATCTTCTTAAGTGAATTATCTCATCAATTATACTAATCAAAATATAATTCAGAAGAGGGAATGAAAAAAATACCGATCATTGACTCAATGAATCAAAAAAACGAGTATTTAAGAAATTTGTTTATAGATATGATACGAATAAGTCTAGGAGTAAGTTTCTTTAGATCGCGACCCGATCAGATTTATCCGAACTAATAAGAAAACTTCAACTGGAGCATCTCTATTGGTTTTTTCCTTTCGAATTAATTGTAAAACATATAAACTTGCATTAATTGTGTCTTCTTGATTACGGACATTTTTTTTTAATTGGAGAAAAGAATGTCTGAGGCTAAGAAGAAGAACTTTGCCAATTCATTTTGAAGAAATCGATGATTCGTTTATAGCATGACTGATCGAATTTAACATCCATTACAGTCGTCTTGCATGAACACAACAATGGTAGCTTTCGCTATGTTAATAATAATTTATTGCTTTCTCTTTACTTCGAAAATAAAATGAAGTATTTATTGTAGTTTCAAATGATAATTATTGTAAAAAAATTTTATACATTGATGTAGAATGTCATTCTTATAGATATGGTTTTCTTTCAGTGTAACACTAATGAAAAATAATTAGACTTCTTCTGCTTTTTTCGATTGTTTGTCTTGTCTTCCAATATGAGACTTTTGTATAGTACAAAACTTTGTTCGCTTAAAAATAATTCTTTAATCAAAAGAACAAATTAACATAATGAAATCAGCGATGACTTAAAATGAGACAAAAATGAAAAAAAAAGAAATAATATAGCAGCATAGAGAGGAAATAAGCATATGATAGAGCAGATACATGAGTATTATTATAATAGAAAATGAATACTGTTTGAACAAGCAAGATAAAAACTTTATGATATCTAAAATAGTCTTATAATAGATGAAAGATGATACCAAAATTCTTATATTATTCACTAGACGTCAATCACTTGGGATGCAACTTGCATGCATCACAATTTTCGAGACCATGTCCACTACCGCTAGCATAGAGATCAGGTCGACTGAGTGGATCACCTTTCACATGAATAAATTTGACTGCTCCTTTTTCAATTCTAAAGAGTGAATGATCGACCATAGTATATGTTCCGGGTACATGAGGCTGAAAATCTACCACGGCACAACCACCTGCAGGTACTAGTGTCGTCTGTATAGCCTGTGCTGGTGCTGAGACGAAATCTGCTTCTCGCCACACTCTATCCCAACATCCACCGATAAGATGAAAAGAAGAAACTAAGTTCGGTCCAGCATTTACAAAGAAAATACGAATATTATCGCCTGGTTTGGCTAGCAAAGCATCCTTTGCTAGATCAATACTCGTATCAGTATGTTCAGGAAAACTATAACCTTCTGCTCCTTTCATACCATTGAACAGTACATAGGTAGCTTTCTCGCGTACACCTGCTTCGATATCCATGTCCAATCGACTTAACCCTTTGAGTTCATTTTCTATTTTCTCTCTGTTTTCTTCTTCATCAGGGCCTATGTACACAATCGGTTCCTTTTCATCTATTCTCTCACTCGTGTATAATTCAGCTTGGACAATACAGTATTCTCTCTGTGCTGGAGGCTGTAATCCACCTTCGGGTTCTACTAATACACATCCATACATTCCCTGAGCTAAGTGTACGGGAGCAGGTGCCATAGCACAATGGTAGAGAAATAGGCCAGCACGTAACGGTTTGAATAGAGCAATTTTCTTCTGTCCTTGATTGATAGTCAATAATGAAGATCCACCACCTGGACCTTCGACAGCATGGAAATCAATATTATGTTGCATACCAGTTTGATCCTTGTTGGTAAAATGGATTTCTAAAACATCACCAAGGCGTATTCGAATGATTGGCCCAGGTGATCCACCATTGTAAGTCCACCAATCAAAACATGACTCTTCATCAATAGGTTTGGTACGAATGTAAGTATCCATATCAATGCATACTCGCACTGGACCATCGTGAACAATCGGAGGAGGCATATGTGGAGGAAATACTATTGGATGTTGATAAGATTCAATATCATGAAGATCTATGGACGGTTTTGATGTGTCTGAAGCTTGTGGATTGAGTGCTGAATTCGACGGATTCTCATCTACAGTCGACGCGGTTTTCGCCGCCGTTTCAGCCAAATCAGCGTCAGCCGACTTGTGATGTTCATCTTCTTCTTTTTTCGATTTTTCTTTCTGTTTTTTCCACGAAAAGAGAGTGGAACCCATGTAGACGGTGCCGATACCGATTAGAGCAGAGAGTCCTATGTAAGTATGAATAGTAAAAAATTGAAAAATTTTGTTGGAAAAGCATGCGAGATAGTAATCTGCTCGGATTATCGAGGAGCTAGAAGATTCATCTTTGTAAAAAAAACCTGATATTTTTAAAGGTCAACAATAAGAATTACGAAAACAAAATTTCTCCAAAGATCTTTTGAATGCAATGCAAGTTCGGCTCGCTAGTCTGTGATTAGCCTTACTAAAAATGAAATAAGAGTTTGATATATGTAATTCGCCATACCTCTGTAGTTGCTACGTTGATCATGTGTAAATTGACGTCTGGATACTTGTATGTTTACGTGCGAGTTACGTCTGACCAAATGGGATTCTAGTCGGTGCACATTTTTAGATGGGCTAGCTGCGTTCATGGATCGAGAGATGGTATTATGGAAAATGCGACGACTAGCCGTGCGTAATGCAGCCAATAACATCATAGCAAATGATCTAGATCTGAAAAATCTGATATTTATAAAGTATGATAAGTGTGCTATGGCACGCTATACGATTTGAAAGATGGAAGTGAATCAATAATGCTTTTCAGTTATAGGATGGAAATGATGC